TCTTTGGGGTTTAGCCAATATCTTTTCATCCATTGCTTCTTGTTCTACCCTCAGGTGCTTTGAAGAATAGTTTTGACTCCTCCTTTTTTGTGGCAACCCCTGAGATATTGGAACACTGCTATCATGTCTCCCCTAGTCCTTCTTTTCATTAAACTAGACATACCCAGTTCCTGCAACTGTTCTTCATATGTTTTAGTCTCCAGTCTCCTAATCATCTTTGTTGCTCTTCTCTGCACTCTTTCTAAAGTCTCCACATCTTTTTAATATCGTGGTGACCAAAACTGGATGAAGTATTCCAAGTGTGGCCTTACCAAGGCCTTATAAAGTGGTATTAACACTTCATGTGATCTTGATTCTATCCCTCTGTTTATGCAGCCGAGAACTGTGTTGGCTTTTTTGGCCACTTTCTTGCCACCTCTTTGATTCGTGCACATGGTATGGTACTATTAAATGCTTGGTTTTGCTTGACAGCAGGGCTGATAATCTTACACGCAGAAACATCTATATTATATGTACTGATAACCCTATTAATTTTAGATTACTGGGGACAGAAATGTTCTGTATCAATTAATTTTCTGCCCCGCTGTTCAATGTTTATCCAGAAAATCAGTGAATATAATGCCAAGTAACTCAGTCCCTTTCTTTGATGGATGCAAGCCATCTCTTTTGTGCAGTTTTTTATTGGACCAGCTGCAGACATCATGACTAATAAAACCAAAGCCTTCCTTTTACACCACTACTTTAGACACACATTAAACTCAGCTACATGCTGGTCTTTTCCCATTTTGTTTCTTATATACTGGTAAAACAGTGGCGGGTTCTGGGCAATACGGACTGGTACGGCCATACCAGTAGTAATTGGGAACAGTGGCAACCGTACCAGTACGGTGGCTCGTTTGGCCCGCCTGCCTTCCATAGCTGTTTATAATGCGACTGGCCAATTGCACACACGGGCACAGCGTGTGGCGGCTGCGCAACCTCCCCCTAGCAGCTGGATCTCGCAGGGTAGTGGGATGCACATGTGTGTGCAGTGCACGTGCCCAACTAGGACGCCTGGCCCCGTGCACAGCGTACCGGCTGCTATGCAGTCTGGAACCCACCACTGGTAAAACCTCTGAAAAGATAAGCTTACAACCTATACTACTAAGTTCATACCCCTTAGACTTCTGTCTCAGATTTGATGTAGAACTGCACCTCTGTATATTAACAAAAATTATTGTTTTGGATGGGTATTATGAGCCTATGTATGTGTTTATGGGTTACTCAGTTCTCTCCATAAGCATTTCTTTCCCAAGTCATAATATGCTCCTTGAGACTCTGCTGAGCACACTCTTGTATTTTCCTTTGACCATAGCTCACTTCTAAAAAGCCTGACTTTAAGGTTCACCCCGAAGAGTCTTCCTAGTGCCAGAATATACATTCAAGAGAGAGGGAGAGGCCATTTGCTTACAGACTTGAGTGGAAAAAGGTTGCCAATCCCTGCTCTTACGGCTAAAAGAGACTGATGGTGGTGTGATGTCATTAAAAGGGACAATGCTACTTTGACAGTTGTGTTTTCTGGTTTGGAAGACTAGAAGTTAAAGGGAAGAAGAAGCAACTAAACTTAATAAAAGTTCAAAAATTTTAGAACTTATTTTTAAGTGGAGGGGGGCAGAAAAAGTGAATATAGGCTTGTTGAGATAGACTTACTAAGGTCACCATGTCTAGATTGATAAACAGCAAGTGCTGGGAGAGCATGTACTAATAAAGAAAAAAGAAAAAAAATCACCCTTTTCCCATGAAATAAAGCAAAATAACAATGTCATTGACCTCTCGTCTTCTCCCTGTCTCCCTCCCCATCTCTCTCTGTGACAACCTGTTGTTTTTAGTCTCTCCCACATTATGTTATAGAGCGTAAAAGCTCACTAAATACTCCAGGACATTTCTTCAGCAAGTTCATGGCAAGTGCTTTTTTTGGTGAGTAAATGTGTGACAGTTCTTTAAAACATTAGTTACTGGTGTTGCCTTATGTAATTTTTGCTGCGTTTTATCAGTTATAAACATTCTTTCAAATATAATATTTATGTTGTAAACATATTAATTTGAAAATGTAACCTGTTGTTTAAAAATTGTCCTTGTTTGAAAAAAATCTACCGTATTTTTCGGAGTATAAGACGTACCGGAGTATAAGGCAATTTTTTTTAAAAAAGTAGGAAGTTAGATAGAGGGATAGAGAGGGAGAGAAAGAGAGAGAAATACAGTAGATAGGTAGGGAGAGAGAGAGTAGATAGGTAGCTAAATGGAGAGAGAGAGAAATAGAGAGAGATAGAGAGATAGAGAAATACAATAGGTAAGGGGGGAGAGAGAGAGTGTAGGTAGGTAGGTAGAAGGATAGAGAGAGAGAAATACAGTAGATAGGTAGGGAGACAGAAAGTAGGTAGGTTGGTAGGGAGAAGGAGAGGGAGGGAGGGGTGGAGGGAAAGAGAGAGAGAGAGAAGGTAGGTAGGGAGATTTGGTTTTGGTTTGGTTTTATTGGTCTTGTATGCCGCCCACTCCCGAAGGACTCCGGGCGGCTTACAATAAAAAGGGGAAGGGGGATAAATAAGACAATACAAAATTTAAAATACAACAACATTCACAATTAAAGTGGGGCTGGATACTTCAACAGATGTTTCCAGGTGTATTTATCCATGTGCTGGAGAAGGAAATTGCTGACAATCTGCAGGACCTAAGACTTTCTTTCTGCTGGAACAGGACTTGATCAATGTAATTCTCATCAGTTAAAGTGCTTTCCAAAAGGTGAAAAAAAAGTTTTTGCACTCTGTAAGCCTCCCAAAAAATGCACCGTTTTTCATGAAAACGGGCCCGTTTATTTTTAAAAGGCATGAATAGCCTTGGGGTGGGGGGGCTTATAGAGTGCTCCTGAAGGGGGGGGCAAAAACGAGCAAAAAATGGCCCATTTTTTGCTAAAACGGGCCTATTTTTTTGTCAAAAAAATTGCATGCAAAGCCTTATGGAGGCTTATAGAGTGCTGCTGGGGCCTGGGGGACAAAAAAAGGTTGTTTTTTGCTCATTTCTGCCCCCACCAGCTCTCTGAAAGCTTCCTTAAGGGTATGCACGGCCATTTTTGTGAAGGGGCGGGACTTCGGGAGCCAAAAAAAATGTGTTCGATGTATAAGACGCACCCAGATTTTCAGCCACTTTTTTGAGGCAAAAAGACACCAGACGTTTCACTTTGTTGTTTATTATCATTTGTTTAATAAGCCTCATGCTAGGGAAAAAAACCTCATTTTTAAATTTTATGTAAATTCTAAATACTGGGCATATTTCTTAGAGATGTTCCTTTAATACAAAGCAATCATTCCAGAATTATATTAAAAATTTTGTTCATATTATCCCTAAATGTGACAATAGCAGGGCAAGACCAAATAACATGAAGTAATATCATTAGTCCTGGATTTAACTCTAAATCTTAATCTTTGCTTGATAAAAGTATAAAATTGGTCTTTGTCAAGAAAGTGATTTTCAAGTGTTTTTGCAGCCTTTCAGGTATAAAAATCCTGTTGATTGATAAAATATAAGATAACGATTCCAGCCCAACCTATTTTTATTACTAATAAAGAACCAAATATGTTTAGGCAGAGGCTTAACACGTTTTACGGGACTGCCATCGTTTGGCCATCCTACAAAAGATTGTCCTTCTTTTATCCAAACTTCTTTGATTTCCTCCTGAAGTTCAATGACAAGAAATTTTAACTATTATGTGGAATTGATAACATAATTTGAAAGGCTAGACTCCAATTTTTCATTCAAGTAGTTATCCTAAATATATGAAATAAATATAGTACACTCTCCTTGAAATAACTAGTTACAGGTTGTTCACACGTCCATTAGTTTCAAACTCCCAATTGTTTCAATTCCCAGTTTTTTCCGATAAAAGGGGAGGGGGCTTTCATTTAATTCAAGCATATCTAATTATTTAATGGCAAGCTTATCAGAATTTCCAATAATTAGTATCTGTTTTTTATACATTATTGTACATCACATACATCATATTACTGCTTTCTCCGGGTCTCTGTGGGTGCATCCATATATGTATGTATGTATGTATGTATGTATGTATGTATGTATGTATGTATGTATGTATGTATGT